TTTTTTTTTAAAAAATATAGGGAAAAAAAAAAAAAAAATATATATATATATATATATATATATATATATATATATATATATATATATATATATATAAATTATAATAAAAATTACATACTGCAGATTTAAGGAAGCTTTAAAACATATTGTGGTAAAAAAAAAATCTAAATTATTCTTAAAGTACAGCAGAAAAAATAAGACCGTGGGATAATGATAGTTCTCAGGAGCTGCCCTTCCTCGTTGACTCCCTGTGCCGACCACTGCAGAATGACTGTGATCGGGACTCTTAGCCTGAAACTGGGATTGGATATATTTGAAGAACCATTACACGTTTGGGAGAAGGGATGAATATTCTTTTAGCAATAAAAGGCGGGCTCTGTTTTCTGTCTTTGAAGGTTTCATTGGAAGCATTCTCATTAAAGATGTTATTTGAATACAAAGTAAGTTAAAATAGCCCAGACGTAGCAGGTCGTATCATTTTTACCACCATGCCTCCAGCTTATTCCTTCAGCCTCAGACTCTCTGCTCTCCCCTGAGCCTCCTGTGCTGCTCAGTCTACCTCTCTCTGTCTGTTTGTGAGCGTGTTTGTGTGTTGTGGGTGTGGCACATCTTTCACTCTCCTTGCTCTCTGGCTGCTCATCAGCCTGCACACCAGCAATCCGTCTCCCTCTCAACCCTGCAGTATATCAAACCCGGTTCTTCAACCTTTCATCGCCAGCTCGTTCTTCCAGCCAGTGCGGATCATTGCTCGCCACCCGCTCTCACGCTTGTCTCCACACCTGCCAGTCAGTCATCCAGCCGCGCGCACATCCCGCTCTGCTCTGTTTCACCAGCCCAGCACACTCCTCCAATCCCTGATGAAAAAATAAAACACAATAACATTTCTTGTTCTCTCCAGCCATCTGCGTTCAGTATTTTGCTGTTGTTCTTGTCACAATCCGATGAACTTTAATATTCACCATTGATAAGACTGCTTCTCTCAATAGAGCGAGGTTATGAATCACTTAACACTAGTGGCAGAGTTTCAGAGCGCAAAACACAAAAACTAACCTGAAATTATTATTTATTTTTTCCTCATTGACTTTTCTGTGTTTCTGATCATTGCAGGACCTCCTGGTGCCCCACAGGGTCTGCTAGTGACCACCATTACTGACACTACAGCGCAGCTATCCTGGAGCTCTGGACCAGACAACCACAGTCCCATCACCATGTACGTAGTTCAAGCTCGGACCCCCTTCTCTATTGGCTGGCAGACGGTGAAGACAGGTAAATTACTCTGTATTAAAAACATTAATATTAGTGGTGGGGCTCAATTAATTGAATAAATTGCACCAGCTGTAATTTATTAATTGCATTTTAAGTGAAAACCATATGTCCACAAAAGTAACATTGTTAATTCAAAATATATTTTGCTTATGAACTTTTGAATAAATAGACAAAAAAGCTCAAGAAAAAAAGATATTTGTTTTCAACCTGTTATTTAGGTTATTCAACCATCAAATTGGTGCAACATGATATCATACACATTAATTGCTTCAGGATGTCCTTGATGCATATATAAATGCATAATTAGCATTGAGATAGATGCTATTTTAAACTTGAATAGCTTCACTGGTAGGCTAACTTAGTTTAACACAAATTGAACACAACAATATCCCAGTAATTTTTTTTTTTTTTTTTAGCAAAATGAACCCTCAACGGGCCCGGAACATTGGGTTGGTCGTCCATCGCTGTTGTTTGCAGATGTTGCTTGTGCAAAAAAGAAAAAAAAAAGTATTTGTGTGAATCTCTTTAACACATTAAAATGTAAATAATCAAAATTATTGTGTTAAAGACACACACATCCCTACTTAAAATAGGTTTTATACATAGAATTGTAGCTGGCGTGCAGGCTACCTAGCTGGCCAACCACAGTCCTGATTCAAACATAAGTTTGAATCAGGAATAGGTTTTAGCTGGATTTGTTAGGTTGTGTATTTATGGTGAGTCTTACCAACAGGAGATGTTTTTCCATTAATAAAACATTAATAAAAACCTGCTGTATCTTGACACATTAATGTAGCCAAGCTAGTTCCATGAGATCAACATCAAACGATGTGTTTACATTTCAGAATGTGGTTGAATGTAAGAGTAGTCTTTAGATTATAGCAAAATTTTAGTTTAATGTCAAGATGTGTGTCTTTAAGGCTTATAGACTTAATGACTGTAATGTGTGTCATATCATAGCAGCAAAACAAAAACACACCAAAAACTCCCAACTTCCCTAAATGTGTTAAACTGTCATCATTGCCACCATCTTTGCATAGCTTTGGGGTGGAGTGCTTGGGACAGTTTCTTCATCAACTCATTTTATGTTGAGTCACTTAAAAAAAGTTATGTCTTTATCTAAATGACATTTCTAATTGCCTGTTGAAGTGGTCTAGATGGTCTAAACACTGCAACACAGATTGGAAAACAAAATATTTTGGAGTTCTTGAGATGACAGTTACATCCACTGATGACAGAAAAAATAATTAGATTTTTTTAAAATATATTTCATCTGAAGTACTTTTCACTGAACAACTCAAAGTGTTGGAAGATGTTTAGCTCTATCCTGTCAGTCATCTTAATTAAATTGACCACAACAGGCATTTAGTTAAATGCAGTGACACTCTGTAAATGGAAAAGTTTTAAATTATGAACAACTGTCAGCTTTTCAGACTGACGTCTCTATTCTTTTTTATTATTTTAATATAGTTGTTTCAAATATTCCTTAAAAACAATTAATAACACCTATCGATTCTTAATTCTTTGATTCTAGTTCCTGATTCTGTGCCTGGACAGATGATGCACGCCACTGTGAAAGATTTGAGCCCCTGGGTGGAATATGAGTTCAGGGTGGTGGCAATCAACAGTGTTGGTGTTGGAGAACCCAGCATGCCATCAAAACAGATCCGAACCAAAGCAGCAGGTACTCTGTCGGCTTGTTATGTCTCTTCATAGAAAATTAAGCAGCCCCCATGTGGAAAATTACCTGTTTGATTTAGTTTTGCATCTCATTGCGTTCTTTGCGCAATTGTTCATGTTATTGTTCATGCCAGCTCTTTGTTTCACTCAGAAAATGAAAATGAGGCAACATGAAATTCCACTTAATTACCGTAAGCGGCCCAGTCGAATGTAGAAACAAGCATTCTGGAACGTGTAGTGTTAATTATTTTAGTGGCAGACAGAAGTGTGACATCCACCAGGAGGAAGCAACACAAAGAACTCCTATTTGATGTAAGAGAATTTTATCCATCTGGTTGGATCACAGAGGAACAAGTTTCCTGCTGGAAGCTACATATTCACCATCCAACTAAATCTAGACTTTTCGACTCAGAGTTTTTCTATTTTTACAGTTTTGGTCACATAAATGTTTCAGATCATCAAACAAATGTTACATCAGACAAAAAAATGTGTGTAAATATAAAAAACAGTGTTAAAATTATGGTTTTATTTGCTATGGGGAAAAGTGATTTTATTGTTGAATTTCCTTTGATTGTCTGGCGTAATTTGTTACTTTTTTAGGTTACATTCACACAAGTCTTTTGATCCTCTTGTTTGGTTCAGACCAAAAGCGGTCTTTGGGTTTTTTGTTTTGTGTGGTGTGCCTTCACATTGTGCTTTTTCTGCAAGCCCAAAAAGCACAATGTGTAAGTAAGCTTTATGCAGACAGTACATTATACTGAAATTGTACCTGATTTCAGCACAGCGTTGGCATCCTACATGCTAGTTTGGACCAAACTGGTTAAAACAAGTTCATTCATGATTTAACAAGATGGGCATTTGCAGTTTCATAAAGGACCATGTTGGTTCAGGAAGATGTTTTATTGTAATAAACAAAATCATCATCTGAAGCCTGCATTCTGTATTTACCCATATTATCTTTGTCTAATATTAAAATTGGTTTCCATTATAATCGTGCGCAAAACAGTTTTATCCTGCTAATGTAGAAAAAACACAATTTTGAAATTGCGGTGTTACCATTAAATAAGATAATTAAATTCACATGAATAAGTTAGTCATTAAAAGCATGCCACACCACCACTTCCTGTCGTCTTATCTTCTTTGTGGTTTCTGCCAATAGTAACATCCAGTTGCTGATCATGTGACTCGTGTGATTAAAAAAAAAAGTTCCCATTGGAGTTTTGCGAAAGACGCAACAATACAACGAAAAAACCATCTCATCATAGAGCAAAAACTTTTTTATCAAAAACTTATTTTTTCAAAAATAGCTGTTTTTCCATTAAGTGAATTTATTTTTGTAATTCCAATTTGCACAATTATATGATTGATGGAAATGCAGCTAACAACAGCAAACCACTTTTTCCCAGCTCTGTGGCTAAACTGTCTGTTCTAACAGAAAATGCAGCACCTGCCCCTGTTGATGATTATGTTTCCTTTTTTTCCTGTTCAGCTCCCAAGGTTGCACCGGTTAATGTGAGTGGTGGTGGGGGAGCTCGGGGAGAGCTTGTCATTACGTGGGAGGTGAGTGGATGATTTTTGACCGAGCGTTCGCTGTGGCAGAGTGTCCTCCCTTTGATGGGAGATGAACTCTGGCAGAGTTACTGTTCCCGCAGAGGACCAGCTTTGGGTGCAACTGCTTTTTAATTAAAAGTGGAGCCTTTTCTGATTTGCTACCTGCTGACTCCCTGTGTGGCGTAAATCTAAATGAGGATGCAGAGCCTGAGCCAGTTACAGCGTGTAAATCTGAACTTTGGTGACGACTTTACGTTTTGTGGATCATTCAGTTCCTTGGAAAAGTATTTATACCCCTTAAAGGTTGCAGCAGTTTATATAAAGACAAGAGAACAATATTTGTGGTTAACACTAAAGTATTCACAGGTTGGAACTTTTTCCTCATTTTCTCACAATACAGCCACAGTTGATATTCTGCTAATGTGCTAATGGCAGAACTAATTTTTAGCTTAGCACTTTACCGTCTTCGCTAACTTTGAAAACGTTTAGTTCACTTAGTTTGCTCTAGATCTATTTTTCCAGATAAATTATATTTTACACTTAGCTCCTTTGTTAACTTACAGTTGAATGAAGTTCAGCATCTGTCATTCTTCAAGTAATTAGACATTTATATCCATGCTCCTTTTCAAGGTTTGTGAAAACTGTTTATGCAGCATTTCCTTTTCCTCTTATGTTCTCCACCCAAAATCTGCAACGGAGTTAGTAAAATTCAACAATAGTAAAGATGAAACAATGAAGTGAATTCACCGGAAGTGAATCCAAAGTTTCACTTCTGGTGAACCATGCAGGAAGGTGTGTAATAACAAATCAGACACTGTTGAGGGCGGTATGCTGTATTGTAACATCTGTTGTGTCGTTGACATTGATAAGTTCAGCTTTGTGGATACAACTCATGCTTTGGGTATTCAAGGATCACATATCCCTTCAAAGCTTTTCTGTGCCCTACATTGTATTAACAAAAATCCAAATGAAAAGTATGACGTTTTTGTGGTTTTAATTTGTCAAGTTGTTACAAATGTTTGAATGGTTTGGTTGTTTCTCCAAGGTTGTGTTGGCAAAAGTTCTTGTAGACATTGTGAACGTTGTGGACCAAGCTTTGTAATTCAGTTTGATCATAGGTGTTTATTTCTTTACCTCTTCCCTCAGCCGGTTCCAGAGGAACAGCAGAGTGGAGAGGAATTTGGCTATCTTGTGGCTTTCCGACCACTCGGCAGCAGCACCTGGATCAAGACGGTGCTGGCCTCGGCCGACGTGTCCAGATACGTGTACAGGAACGACAGCGTTGCACCTCTGTCCCGTTTCGAAGCCACTGTGGGTGTGTACAACAGTGTGGGGGAGGGGCCGTTCAGCCGGATTATAAAAGTGCTCTCTGCAGATGAAGGTGAGGCATTCGCTTTGGTAACAGGAGGACGGAGATTCCAGAAGGGGTGTGGTTGTGCTATTAATCGAGGCAATGCATAATTCATATGTCTGTCCTCCACAGAGCCTTCCGCCGCTCCATCAAGAGTATGGGCTCATTCCATCTCTGCCTCTGAGATTGAGGTGTACTGGGAACCAGTTCCTCCCAGGTCCAGCACTGAGAACATCATAGGGTACGAGGTATGAAGCAGAACAAGGACTATTCAGAACCAATGTAAATCCCACAGTGGCTGACCATGTAATAAGCTTCCATATTTTGAGCATATCTGTGGAAGTCAGGGGTGTCCAAAGTGCGGCCCCTCAACTGCAGTTCAAGACTGATACAAATTTGGACATATGGTTGATGCAGATGCAGACTTTTTATTTATAATCAAGGTAAAATTGTTACCAACACAATTATCATACAATGGAAGAAGTACAACACACAGTATTTCTATTTTATAGCTAAGCTTTTATAATAAGTGGAACCACACTTATCCAGACATTTACTGATGCACCACAGTCAGCTTTTATTTAATTTACTAAACTTAGATAAATTAGCTAATATTTTGATAGAAAGTGATCAATCTTGATCTTATTACTGATAATAAATATTTCCAATCCAAGCCAAAAAGAAATGAGAACTGGAAGCATTTCATTAAATATAGAAAAAAAAATCTTTTACAGTTTGGATCTATGATGAATATTTTTCTAGAAGATAAATTATCCCAGATATGATTGAGATAAACAATATTCTCACTTTGATAGAACTAATATACTGATAATGGCATAATAATGCAAGTTTGCCCTCTGAAAGATTATTAAACTTTAATTTTGTACAGAACACTCCAAACTGGAACTGGAAAACATTTTAAATAAACGGTAACACTTTATTTGAAGGGGGGTGAATAAGACTGACATGACACTGTCATAAAAACCTGTCATGAACATGAATAAGCCTTCATGAATATTTATGACTGTTGTCATAAAGTTTCATTTGGTAAATTATGACACTTTTAATACAAAGTTGACATTATTCAAAATGTCGTTGTTATGACAACTTGACATTAACCAAGAAATCATTACTGATATAAATTTGTTATAAAAGTATTACTGATTGCACTTTAAAAATTAGGTAACTTTATGTTATTAAAGGTAAAGTTTAAACAGTAATGATTTCTTGGTTAATGTCAAGTTGTCATAACAAAGACATTTTGAATAATGTCAACTTTGTATTAAAAGTATCATAATTAACCGAATGAAGCTTTATGACAACAGTCATAAATATTCATGAAGGCTTATTCATGTTCATGACAGGTGTTATGTCATGTTTATGAAAGTGTTATGACAGTCTTACTCATCCCCCTTCAAATAAAGTGTTACCAAATAAACTAAAACACAACCAAAAACAATACATGTAAATAAAAAGGAAATAAAAACCGCAAACAACTGAAACCATAAATACAATGGATTATGAAGTCGTAAACAAAATTGCCCTTCAAAAAATATTAATCAGAATAGAAATTGAGCTAATTTTAATTTATCATGCAAATAATTTTTTTGTGACTATTGCAATACATTTAAAGATGAAACATGCCTTTCTTACAAAACAAAACTTTGCTTGATTTTTGTAGACTGGAGGTCTCCAAAAATTGTTAAAAATGAAATAAATAGAGGAAAGTATGAACATCATATATCATTCCCATCAACAACAGCCTGTCTGCTGAGGTGTAGCTGGGGGAAAACTGAGATAAAAATACCGTTTGCTGCTGGAACCCAGATATCTTACTTTTGAGGCTATGCCCAGGTGGCCTGGCCTGTGCAGAGACGCATGGAGCCAACTACATCGTTATCCACATCTACTGTTGTAGGATGAGAGCAGAGCAGGCTTGAAACAGGAATTTCAATCAGTATATTTACTGCAATGACTTTAAATTTTTCCAAACATTTTTTTTTGTTTGTTTATTCATGATTATGCTTTTGTAGGTTCCATTAAAGTGAAGACACTTGTGAAAAAAATAATGTCAGATATTGCAGTACCTCCAGTTTTTCTCAATTTTGCAGAAATTCACTCAATCAACAGATCCCTGCATTTTTTGGTGCTAACGCATAGCTTTGAGTTTACTGCAATTTTTTTTGCAAAATTGATTAAAAAAATATTGTGTTTAAGTGGTGCTAACACCGACCTGCAGGTGGCAGTATTTCTTACTGCTACTGCACTGCTCACTCAGCCTTACTTGATATCAAGTTATAGTCTGCGATCAATATGGCAATATGCAAAAAGTTGCATTTAATGTCAAGTATCACAAAGCTCTTTGCAATTTATAAAGTAGCACCACAACATCAGTGATTTTGATTGGAAAAAAAATCACAAAAACAGTCATGAAATCTCAGAGGGCCTGATGTTAATATAGTCCTCAGCAAAAGTAACCATACCCTGAGATTTTTCCTATTAAGACATGTTAAAAGTACAAATTTCAAGGTGTTTTACTGGGAATTTTGTCATAAAACATGAAGTAGTGCATAAATGGCAGGAACAGTTTTTGCAAAAATAAAAATACAACATGTATTTCTATTTTGACGAATTTTCTAGATCCACTAAAACTCTTAACTTTCCTGTATTTAGCTACACCCATCTTTCCTCAAAGATGATCGCCTCTGCTGCCTTTGGTGCCAATAACAGCCTGAGAACAGGATCTTGTAATTGTGTAAATAGGATGATAATTTGCATCATTACTTTTCTACAAACAGGAGATTTGATCTGACTTAACTTTAGACGGTGAGAAAAATGTGAATGTGATTTTTTTTTTTTTTTTTTTTTGGTGTATGTAAACTTCTGATTTCAACTGTGCATTCTCAATAGAATCCATGATGTTTGTGGCTTTAAAATGACAAAAGGTCACATGTCCAAACAGTATGAATACTTTTGCAAGGCACTACACTGACTTGGCACCTTTCACAAGACAGCACCTTCCTTCCTGGAGTCCTTGAAATAATTTAAATGAAAACTTTGTAAGCTGAGGAAAGTACAGGAATAACCTCCACCTGAGGCTCTGGGAGCTGCTCCTGAATCTCCCAGAAGAGGCTGAACAAGGAGAGTGAGACCTGAGCACTTCATCCATTCATTATGTCCTGTCCAAACACTTTACCTGAACTCACAGCCTGACGTACCTATTGTGTATCAGAGGCTTGTAGCAAAGAGGAACAGAAAAATGGATGCCTGGTTTGATTATTTTTCAGAGTCATTGTTTTCGTTTTAAATTTTAACTCGTTCACCTCTTTACAAAATACATTATGTGAAACCGGGAAGAAATACAACAGTAGATGCTACATGGATCAGAACTGTAACAATAGGAGTACGGTAGGTTAGGGGTCCCAGCGTGGGTGAGCTGTTGATACCAGAATGACCAACACAACCACACTGGCTGATCTGGAATAGATGCTTGTTGAAGAATGGTGTGGCATAACGCAGGAGTGAGTGAACAGCATTATTAACCAAATTGATGTGGCTGAGTTATAGTTCTTTCCTACTGTCCACCCAATAATTTTGGGGGTTACATTACATGAGCCAGCACAATCAGACTGAAGTGACACAGAACTGGATATGGGCTATAACTGTCATGCTCCTGAACCAGACCATGTTAGAAGTGACTTACCTAGGTAAAGGAGAATAGTACTGGGCTGTTGCTTGGTGTCCACATTTTTCTCTTTAGATAAGTTATTTTTGAGTTTTATTTAGAAATTAAGGTCCCAGGGTGCAGACACACAAAAAACTAGCCTGGCTGTTGCATTCCTATGCAAATCCACTTGATTTTCTTCTCCCTTCAGAGTTTTGTCTGAAATTTCTCCGACTGAGCTCGATTTCTCCGGTTGAATTTCATCCAGACCAATCAACAAACAGGAGGAGGAGTTATGAATGATGAAGTTGAGTTTCTGCACTTTTAGAGTTGTAGTCTTCCTGTAGTCTGTAGTTGTAATTTGGCAATGGCAGCGGAGTAAGTGAACGAAGCCATTCAGTGCATGTTGGCAAGACTTCCAAATATTGAGCAATTACAGTCAGAGCAAGAGAAATGTTTAAGACATTTTAACTGCGGCAAAGATATCATGGCCTTTCTGCCCTCTGGGTAGTTTACAGCACTTGCAATTTCTGGAAAGCTTTGTACCACAGCTCCTTTCATGTTTGGCCAAATGTTAGTGGTTGGGTAAAATCAAATCCAATGGTTTCAAACTTAAGCAGGGCCACGCCTCCACAATAGTGACTCTTTATGAAGCAAAGTGTAGACCAAGGAGCTGGTTTTTATTAGGCTAACAAAATGCAGGTTCGAAGGTGAAGTTTCTGAAGTTTGTCATTACTGGGAGAGCCATGTCATTTGCGGGTGTTGTTTAAAATCAGCTTCGTTAAGAGGGAGATTTAATTTTCCAGAAGGACTAGGCATCGGCCCACACTGCCGAACATACCTATAATAAACCCTGTAGAGAATCCATAGGGTATTGTCGAAAGAAAGATCAGAGAAACCAGAACAGAAAACACAGAAAAGCCACAGACTTAATATAGTACTGCATTGGTGCAGTAATTAATGCCAAAGAAACCCCAACGGTTAATCTAAAGTAAATGGACATACTCTCATTAGCCCCGCATTTCTGTATAAAAACATCTTTAGTATTATTTGCCTTTATCAGTCTTACAAAACATTGTGAATTTCTGGGAAACAGAATCTTAGGCTTTCATTAACTGTTAGCTCTAAACACAAAAAGCAATTTTATTTATTAGCCTTATATTTTTAAGGTCCAACTGTAGGTTTGCTATTAACTGAACTTCTAAATCACAGGCAGACATCCATAGATTTAATTACAGCAGCCATAAAATGACGTGGTCCATTTACAAAGGACAATATCTATCAGATCCAAATAAAGAAATGTTGATGAAAGAAAACTCCAGAACAATTTGTTATTCAAATGTGATAGTTCAGTTTTATGGTGCCATACTATAATACATCTTCCCTGTAAAGTTTTCTTTAGAGTCCCTCATGTGTTTCTGAGTAATAAATGTTCTCATAAGGAGAAAAGTAAGAAGAGTGCTCACTGGTTTTTCTGTGTTACCAATAAGGAACCATACAGCCATTTAACATATTCCTGTTGGAAAGGGTTTTTTGTCTCGCTGGTCCAGACAGTGTGGTTACATAATGTTACATTATTATTATGTGGAAGTGCATTTCTGCTTTCCAGGATGTGGTCCCATAAGCTGTTTATGTTACAAAAAATTGTTTTAACTGACTTTTTTCCTTTCAAAAATAAAGAAAAAGCTATTTGTGGTTTACTTGGTTTAATATTTCAAAGATATGTATGGTTTATGTCTTAATGTTCAGTATTTGACCTTTAGACATGGTATAATACATCAAAATAAAGTAAGACTGCTTTGGACTTTATTCAGTATGTAAAGAACTATGAACTACACACTCAAATATTGAGCCTAATTCACACAAAAAAACCCTCTGCTGTACTGTACCTCTAATATCTCACAATAACATTTAAGTATGCAGCAAAAAAGTAAAATCTTGTAAAGAACTAATTCTTCCAAGTGGACGTTTAAAATCTTAGCAGAGGAGGAAAAACTGACCCGCTCTCTTCAGCCATTTCAGTTATTTTCCAAAGAGTCTGGAAAAGCAGCTACAATTGAAGTGCAGTGGGGAAAGAAACACCCTAGATGAATGCGTTATCAGAAACTCCAGCCCTGCTGCTAATCTGCCTTTCCTGAACAAGATGTCTGAGAACCTGCGTGCCTCCACCTGAATAAGTACCTGCTCTCATGGCATCTGTTTGACATTTCCTGTCTGCTCCCCCTATCTGGTGTTGAGGTCATAAATGATCTCCCTATAGATACCGATTCTGACACACTCCTAATCCTCATACTCATGTCGTTCGCCTTATTACTGATTGCTTTAAGATTAAATATCATTTAGGAATTTGAAAATATGACTTGGACTGGTTGAGGATTTTTGCTGCTACCATCTAGTGCTGATGTTTTTCCTTATTTTAAGAATCTGATACTGCTTAGCAATAAGAATGATGGTTTATGCATCTGATCTTAGAGGAAAAACATATTTTTACATTGTTCCCATAATAGTTTTCTACTATAGTTGGCCTTTTATCCAATAAAACATAAAAAAAGAAAAAAAAAGATTTAGGAGGTGTGTAAGGATGTGTAGTAACTGTGATTACTTTGATTCAGGTTCTCTTTTGGGAGGGAAGCTCTGAGCAGCGTGAAGCAGACAGGGTGAGGGTTACCGACAGCACGGCGCTGCTCTCCGGTTTAAAGAGCAGTACGGTCTACCTGATCTCAGTGAGAGCCCAGAACAGTGCCGGACTTGGACCCTCTAGCCCCTCCATCAGCGTCGCCACCAAGAAACCACGTGGGTGCACACCAAACACCAGACAGGTGTTTCGTTCCATCATTTTCTCTTATTTGCTTGCAACATCATTTTCTGCTCTTTACTTTTTCATTTATGACCAAACAGTTAAAATCCCATCTGTCTGTACAATTAACACATTACTGCAGTCTTCATAGCAGGTAGCTAACATATACTATCTACCAGTTAGCTATTGTGATGGTCAACTAGCTAACAACTTGTCAGACTTCCAGTGGTATTTTTAAAAGAACTTGTATTCAGTACATAAAGCATGTTTATTTTAGAACTATAGAAGCTTCATAAGGAAAAAAAAAAACAGTAAGCTTTTTCAAGTAATAAAAACTTTTAAAAGGGCAGTAAAGTTCAGGCTGACTTATGCATGTGATTCATAGCTGCGATCCCTTTTTTCTTTTATCCTTTTTTTTTATCCCAGCTGAAATTTCAGAAAAAGGTCATATTTGTCCTTGATATGCAGAAATGAAATGGCTTCTTTGCCAAGAGATTTTCTGCTGCTCATACTAACCTGTGCCCAACGCTGAAGTCACTTCCAACTGGTATCTGAGAATCAGAAGTGGAGCACATAGGAGAGGAACAAGCTGCTGGGGGTGATGTGAAAATTGCAGAGTCAGATAGCATCACTTTGTGAAACAAGGGAACAGGTCCTGTGATGTTCAGTTTTCGGTTTTAGACATCATTCCTCCTGGAAACGGTTGGTCCCTTCATTCCGGTGGACATTACATTATCATGCAAAATATCCAGCGCTACTTATCAGGTAGATCAGTTTACATTTACAGTAGGATCATCACCACTGTATGGCTAAACTCGTTTTAATAAAACTGGTGGTTTGACTCAATTAAAATTTTTTATGGCGTTAATCACATTTTAATTGAAAACAATATATCAACAAAATAAGCAACATTCTCAATTGAAAAACTGTTTTTGCTGCTAAATTATTGAGTAAGTAGATGTACGAGTTCCACGACAGACATTTATTGTTTTTAATCAGTTTTTTAGATTATTCAGTCATCAGATTGGTGCAAAGTGTTATTATAATCGTTCAGCTTTGAACTGTTTCAGGAACAATTGATCATTCATGGAACATTTTTGAAAAAATCCTTCCTGAATAATGTTGACTGTGGATGGTGACGTTAGCATGAGATGCTATATTAGGCTTCAATAGCTTCACCGATAGGCTAACTCCAACAATTTGCACACAACAATAGTCTTTTCCAGCATCCAATCAGATCACTTTCAGCAAAAGTGGTCCAAGTGAAGCGACTTTGTCTTGTATTGCTGCTGTTTGCAGCTGTCGCTTGTGTGTCAGGCACACCAGCATTCCAGAAACATACAAAGGTTTCACTCTGAAATATTGTCTGTAAAATAAATAAAATTAAAAATTAAAAAGTGACGAATTTTTGACACGTTACAATCCATATTAATAAATCAGTCCAGAATGTGACTTCAGTCTAAAATGTTCTCAGAGGCATCTGAAAACAGGTTTGATGTGCTGGATCAACAACTCTCTATGTGCAGTCTGCTGCATCACTTACAGGAAGTTTCAAGGGTCTGTATACTCATTAGAGTAGACACCAGAAAAACCTTCAGAACTTTAGTGCAGTTTTTGGAATATCTTTAAAAACCAGGAAACCTACCAGGTGTATCCTGATGGGTGAGGCATTAATTATGGTTATTCAAAAGTGAGGGCTTCTGTAGTGAAAACAACTATTGATTTGATCAATTTACAGCCTTACAAAAACAACTGCATATGACAAGATTCTCTCAGAACATTGAATTAAATCTCGAGATGCATTTTTGCACTCAAGGATGACTGTAAATTTTCTACTAAAGGTACGTCTGGCCGTTTTCTGAAGTGGTTTTCTGAAAGATTACAGGCTGATAAATATGGGAAACGGAAAACCAGCTAATTGAAACAGAGGAAATGTAGATACACGTTATGAGTTTTTAGATTATTAGACAATTTTGGCAAAATGCAAGACATCAATAAAGAAAAATTCCTATAATCAGCAGTGGTCTGACAGCTGTTACTACTTCTGATTTTTTTCTTTCTACTATGGAATGTACGTTCATTCCTATTTTCACTTGATTAAAGTTCCTTTATATAATTAGAGCTTTATGATTTTCTGTCTGTAAAATGAAATTAAACAAAGATTTCTCTTGCACAGTATTTTAATTACTGACCATGATTTTTTTTTTCAGTCCTTTATATCTGAATGAATGTTTATTTTGGTAATATTAAAAAGACTCGAGGAGCCAAGGTCTTAATGTTAAAAGGACCAGTGTGGAAGCTTTTGTTTTTCTTTTTTGAGCCATTCTGTTGCAGATTTGTTGACGAGGGATCAGGTGAACTGAACCCATGAAAATATTTCTATCTCTGTTGATAGAAAAGCATAAAGGTCTTCTCGCCTTTCTACTTTCACGGCAGACAGAACATGACAGAAGCTGGACCAGAATAAAAAAAGGGATGGTTTAATAATTCTATTTTCCTCTTATCTTTGAAAATAGACATGTTTCAAAATAAAGGAGCATCTTCTGAATATCTGTGGCATCTGAGGGGAAATGAGCAAAAATCTGAGGTCAGGTCAAAAGTTTTAATTGTATGAAAAAGATATGTGTATAAACCTTCTTTTTTGCGTGCCTCACTATTTCATATCAAAGACATTTTATTTTGAAAGATATGCAGAGAGAATATAAAAACAGTTTTTAAATTATGAATTCATTAGTTAAAGGTAAAAGTCAAGCTAATAGGGTTTTATGTGGACATGGAACTGAACCTTAACTTCTAAGTTTTTACGCTCGCTTGAGGCAGTTTGTGGCCGTCCAAAGACGAGTAAAGCTGTAAAGGGAAGATGGAAACACATTTACCAAATAAGTTCTGATGTTCTGAACTTTCCCATTCATTGCGCCTTACCTGAGAAAGTCCAAAACTCCAGCATGGAGAGGAGAACTCTCCATTTTTTCTGATTGCAGCCTCTCCATCTGGTTTGTGACAGCCATGTGTATCTGACGAAATTATGTTTTGTGTAGCCTGGTTGATTTTGCTCCAAACCAGTAGATAAAAATGCTCCTATTTTGCATTTTTCGTTTTTATGAAACTCTTTTTGCATCACCTGTCCTTAATGTTTTCTCTTTATCTCAGCAGACAAACACAGGACTGATTAGTGACTGACCAGTAGAAAACTCAAATCGCCATTGGATAGTTCCATGTTCCAAACCAATGCTGAGCAAAAACAGAGCAAAGGTCCATGTCACATCTGTCAAAATACATGTTGAGGATCCCTAGGTATTGTTGGAAAATATTCCGTGGACGGAAGAAACGTAGACAAAATTGAATTTGTTGGTATGTGTGTGTTGGTTTTGCCACCAAGTCTGATGAAAGCAGTTGTTAGGATTGAGAGGCAGCTATCTGAAATCACATTTATTTCAGATAGCTAAATCATACTACCATTGAAAACCTGCATTTTGTAATTACACACCATATCGGTCTGATGTTAAAATCTATTGTATGATTTGAAACATTTATGTGTAATATAAAAGCTAAATCATCAAAAAAAAAAATTAAATTGCTTTAGTCATCAGAAGTTGGAGTGAGGTTTAGAAACATGGGGAGTTTCTAGTGTTTCCACTAGTGTTGAAAAAACACAATTTCCCAATTGCAGTGTTTCCATTCAATAAGAAATGCAGTTAAAATTGCATGTGAATAAGTTCATTTATGCAATAAATCATTAAAAAACCTGCAGCACCATCATCCTCCTACCTCTTCCTGTTGTCTTCGTCTTTTCCTCCAGCGGTAACAACCAGCTGCTGATCACATGACTCGTGAAATTTATAAAGTACATGAATTTTGAAATAGCCAAGAAACCTCCTCAATTTTGCGAAAAACGTAATCAAAAAACCTGAATTTTTTCGGAGGTGCTGTGTTTCCATTAAGCAAATTTATTTTTGCAATTCCGATTTGTGCAATTATATGGTCAATGGAAACGCAGCTATTGAGTTGATCATGAAAAAAAATATTCTAGAGTCAAAAGGGAGGCCATCTGTTGAACTGACAGGAAACCAACCACAGACTGACTGAAAAAGAGAAATGAAGATATTGCAAAGTCCAGAACCAAACCTGAGTGCAGCCCTATTAGATGACCTCAATGTTATAAGAAAGTGTAGATCAAAATTCCCCCACAATGATGTGAGAATCTAATACAGAAAACAACTAATTCATGTTGATTCTGCTAGGAAACTTGAAGCTATAAGCTAATGAAACATGGGGTGCACTAATTTTTTAAGTGACTGAGCACACAGATAGGACTGATATGATTCTGGGTTGAATGAGGACAAAAGAGGACTCTTACCACTCTCTTACCACTTGTTTTATAAAAAAGCAGCGGTAACATTGGCAGGCGAGACCTCAAAGGCGAATAAAATAAAGCTTCATCTTTTTCTGTGCAGCACTACAAATGCTTTCCTCTGAGTCCTTTCTATGGCTGTAATTCCAGAGTGCAGCTATTCTTATTCAAGTTTTCAATGAACGCTCCAAGGTCCTGCTGTTTTTAGACCGCAGAATAATTCCTACATTTTTAGTTCTGAAACAGGTCTGTGTTTTTGATGCTCTTTTTAATGTCGCTTCTTGAATATTTAGACATTAAGCTGGCATTTAAAACATCACAGATCAACATACAAATGCAAAAGAATTTTTACAGCTGTTTCACATTTTCTCACATTACAACCACAAGCTCTGTATTTACTGGGATTTTATATGACAGACCAACAGAAAGTAGTAAATCTAAAAAGAAATGGTGTTGTGTGCATATTAATCCCGTCTTTTCTCCAATACCATTCAACAGGTGACTTCTCTTGAGATGTGTGTAGTTTTGGGTGTTTTCATTCCTGACAGTCTGGTAGATTTGGTTCCCTTGGGGAACAAAACTACAACATGTTACATTTTCAATGTGAAATGAAGCAAAGCCTTTGATCTAACTCTTTACATCCTGTGGGGCCACTGCACCAATAACCATTGAAGGAATCAACACCAAAACATCTGAAGAAGAAACTGAGCTCAACTTTCTTCTTCACCAAATGTAAACAAAATGGGGTTGTGTCAGATGTTATAGATTGTAGAATTTCTCTTTTCTGACCACAAGTTATCTCCTGCTAGCGCTGGACGCACGTTTGTCTTGGTTAGATTTACTCAGGATTCCCTTCACTACAGTCTGCTCCCTGCTTTTGGAGCGGTCGCTGGTTCGCTTAGCGTTCACATGTGTTGGAAGCCATATGAGTTCATTTCAACCGAGGTTGGAAATGGACCAAAGTTTGCCGTTTTGGTTTTCATCATAGTTCCAGTGCGTATTCACACCTCCCCAGACCTACCAGCTCTTCTAGTCAAACAAACAAGACTTTGATTACAGCGGACTAAATGGGGCTGGCGTGAATTCCCCCAATCCACCTAGTTGCTAGGTGAATGTTAGGGTTAGGGTGAATTCACATCAGCCCTGTTTAGTAGCTTTAATCCAACTCCCAATTCCTTTGACTAGAAAATTCAGTTTGTTTGGGGAAGTGTGAATGCACAATGGAACTCTGAGGTGGATCATAAAAAAGCTAACTCTGGTCTTGTTGCTAAATATGGCAAGAAAGTTCATGAGTTGGAAACAGTGGGGTGACTATTATTATCTGCAAAAGTGCAGACATGACCTGGTGGGTGGGCCAATCAGTCAAACCTCCCTCACAGGAAGAGGACAATGGTTGATTTTTAGACTTGCTGAGGTGGATAAGATCAGGAGATAAGATGAGCTTCACATGCAAGTAGAGGTGTGCCGATCGATCGGCTACCGATCATAACCGGTCGATTTCCGTGAAAAAGTGTATGATAGGTGATCGCTGATCACAGTCTCTTGTTCCCGATCACACAAACTGATCACCTGCATCTCATTTCCAGCCTGCCTGTGCAGCTGGTCTCCTCTTTCCTTCACTCTGCGCAAACGCGCAGCAACAAATCCTAAGCGATGTGTAACTATAACGCACTGAGTGAATGGGGAAGTTTGCGTGTTGCGGCGGAAAATTGAAGCAGGTCAAAATGCATCAACACGACGAATCTAATATGGCATAAAAACAATGCCATACTTGACGGAGTTTGGCTACATCGAGGCTCACTGCAGTAAAAAAGACCGCGGAAAAGATAGCAGGCAAAGCAGCGCACAGCTACAAACACTCACCCGGATTAGCATGACGGTTAGAAAGCTAAGCAAATAACCCGCAAAATTATTTAAGTCTTCGAGCTGCGATGTCAGACGCTGGTTCTGTCTCGCTGTTGAACCGCTGCTACGCTACAGGTAGTAATATCTGACAGGCTACAGGTAGTAATATCTGACAGACGGAGCTTCGCTTCTGCTCCACCTGGTAGTGACTCTCACCGAACCTCTGTTTAAAGCTGCAGCATCTAACCTAAAAAAATACATTTTATATACGTATTAAAACTTTCGCTGTCCTAACATGAGACAGATAATCTCTAAAAAAAAATTATCGATCTCCTCCCTGTTCTGCATAATTACTCCGCTCAGTCAGAAACAGCCAATCAGAGCTAGCAGTAATCAGCTAGCCGCCATGCTATCAGGAAGTTTTCATTCAGTAACTCAGGATTGTTTATTGTAATGGATCCTATATTTGCCTTTGAATGTTAAGTTTTATACTTGAATTTTTTTGGCAATGTTGAGAGGTTTTATTTTGGCTCTTTGCATTATTTAGCCTCTTCAGAGCCTTCATATGTTATCAGTCTGTTAAAGATAGTATTATCAATAGCAGTACAATTTGCACAATGCCTGTTTTGTTTAGTTTTCTTCTTGGAAAAAGTTATTAAAAACAAGTTTTTGTCTAAATTAAGGTGAATTCATGTATCTAAAATTAAGGTCCTAAAACAATCTAAGTTGGCCTTGACTATGTCTTAAATTTTGTTGAGACGTTACAATTTAATCTAATAACCGGTAGTGCTAATGATTAAAAAAATTAATAATTAAAAATTATGTGATCGGTATCGATAATCGGCCGTGATCGGCCCTCATAGGTGATCAGAATCGGAATCGGCAGGAAAAAACTTGATCGGCACATCTCTACATGCAAGTATTGGCTGATAACAGATCTCCCAAAATTAAGGAATTTGACCCTGATTAATCAGCTGACTGATAAATCTGTCACTCCTGCTTAGAATGCATATGTGAAGATTCCAAAAGTAGACAATGAACTATAGCACAGGGCATTCTGGGTAAATCAACCACACAGGCCTAGCACTTGTGGGAGAAATGTCTCGTGGTCTTTAGCCAAAGACAAAAGAGAAATCCTACAACCGCTAAAATCTGACACCACTGCATTTTTGTTTACACTTTGAAAAGAATGAAATTGGCTCAGTTGTCTTCTTCAGAGGTTTTGTCATTCTGCCCCTCTCCTGTGGTGAGGGGCAGAATGACTTTGAAAAATCACAGGTTTTTCAAAGGGTTTGTTGTCTTCGTTTGATCCAGTGGAGTCTGAAAGTGAACCACAGCAGCTGGAAATGTAACAAATGTGGCAATTTTGGTCCCTATTCTGACCAAGTCTACTGGACTATACACTGTAACACATTTGAGCCACAATTAGTTGTCTACTCGCTTATAAAGTAGAAAATTCTACTTTATAAGTCAAATGAATTAAGCAAGTTTTAGATTTTGAACCTAGATGTGTGAGTTTTTGAAAGATAAACTTACAGTAGTAAGTTGTGTTTACTTTTTATTAATTCTGTCAAAGCTCCAAGAGTTGAATCAAGCTATTTTTTGCACTTAAATATCTGAAAGAAAGACAGGAGTGGGAACTATTTCCCAGCATGCTTAGCAGCACATTGAGATGGAAGTGTGTTACATTGATCAGACTCTTGTGTGTTAAGATAATTGTTTATTTTAATGCATCTGGTAGTTTGGACAGCTTGAGGATAATGTTCTGTTCACACTAAATGTTTTTGAGCAGAATTCATTGTGATGTTTAATAAAATTCATTATCAGAGCAGAAATTTTGTTCATACAATTTGAAACCAGAGTTTAAATTATTCTAAAGTAAAATAAATAGTTGTTTCAGCCTGATATTGTGAGTAAACATCATAGAGAGATGTGTGCTCCTTAGGTGAGGGCAGTTTTTTTTCTTACATACTGTGGAATAATTATTTGGTTTAATGTGCATCATTAAGTTAAAACTCACAATTCAAGATTAATAAACTTAAAAAACAATGTTTAGACAACGTGTCTCTTGTTAAATCAACTTCATGAACTACAATCTCTGAGTTAAAACCAGTGTTGATTGAAAATGCATTTTCAAGGCAGAAGCTGGATTTTCATTTTCAAGTTAAACCACCATCAAATGTTTCACAGTGTAGGTTGTGAAAACACCCTTGAAAAACAGAAGCTAATTGTATCTCTGGAGGAACTGCACAGCTCCACTGCTCATGTGGAAAATGTATTTTAAACAAATCTGACCTTTGTGGAAAATTAGCAAGAAGAAAACCATTGTTGAAAGAAAACTCTGAGAGGTCCCATTTGCAGTTTACCAAGAATTCATAGCTTGAGTGCTATGGATTCTTTGTAAAGCTTCTGGAGAATTCCACAGTTTTAAATAATATTGACAGAATCTGAGCACTACTGAGGTGCTTAATTGAAAAAAGAGCCTATATAGACATGATTGCTGCTTCAGGGTGGACTTTTAATATTATCCCTTTTACTCAGTGGTTTCACACATGAACAAAACCGATGGACAGAAAGCACGAGTCTTCTGTTTTACTTCAGTAAAAATCAGCTAAAATCTGATTTAATTCAAATACTTCATGATTAAAAGATGGCCTACCGCAGAGGCAGAAAACACTATGGATAACATCACTTTAGTCATTCATTCATCAACATTGTCCGTTATAATTTTTATATCTTGCAGCACCAAGCCAGCCTCCGGGGGCCATTGAGTGGAACCTGACCAACTCAAAGATCTTTCTGAAGTGGGATCACGTCAAGGCGTCGCAGAACGAATCCAAGGTGACGGGATACAAGGTGAGTTTTTCCAGAGAATCGGGAGAAGTGTGGAAATAAACGTGGCCTCGGCAGCTGTCATCTCAACAAATGGTTTTCTCTTTGCGGAGGAGAAACGAACCTCGGCAACCTCGGTGTTACAATATGGATTGGCCCTGTCTAGCCCCTTCAAAATTAAAAGATCTGTCCCTGATGATAAAACGAAGGGCGTCAAGCTGCAGAGAGAATTCAGCTTCTTCTAACCAATACAGCGCTGAAACCCATCTGATCCACTTTGCATACTTTGTGGGGACGAAAACACAGTTTTTGATTATTCTTTTCACAAATATATATTTCTTCTCCCGAGATATGCGGCCTCGGTCATTTAAAGATAAGCCTCCTGTGGAGCTGTGGTATAAGGAAGCACATGCTGTAGATATGCCTCATTTATTAAAATGCCTAATGGAAATCCCTGTGTTTCTAATATGTTTTCATATTTTCCAAACTATGCATCCAATTTCCCGTCTTCATGTTTCCTTTAAGGGTCAACACAGGACACTTTTATAACAAAGACACAGCATGACTAAATGGCTTAAAATAATGCCAAAGGTCCTGTTTCATGTCCTCGTCTTATTCAGTCTTGACTCACTAGAACAAATTATGTCCTCAAAAGACATTTTGAAATTTTAAAAGGCTAAAAGAAATTAGCATTTGACCAGTGACATTTCTGAGAGTAGCCCTATTTGGGTCATTTTACAACTCATATCTGGGTCAAATATGGATCAACCCAGCACTGGACTAGTTTAACAAAATAGGGTTGGATTATGTTTTTAACGGAATTTACTGGATTAGGTTTTCTCAAAAAATAAGTCAAAGTGACTTAACATGATATTAATTTTAGCAAACAGGGGGATGAAAAGACTTTTTCTTATATTTTTATGCAAATTTTAGTAATTAATATGTTAAGTTGTAAAGTTTACATGCAGCTCACAATATCCGGATCTCCGGTTACATGACTGTGTTTTGGGAAACTCAAACTCTATAAATATATTTTTTTGTAATAATCTCATAAATCTCACTTGTGAAACCTGAAGTCCATAGACTGTTGTTTTCATGTTTACTTAATCTTTTACTAATGCAAACCAGATTGAAACCTTTTGTGTTTTCATAAATCGGATGTTCCTTAATCTCAAATCGTGTTTTAAAAGAAAGATATCGTCATTTAAATTCAGTCCAAAATCATTAAAAATTGATTTTAATGATTTCGAAATCATTAAAATCATTAAAATAAATTGCTTTATTTCTGGGCTAGTAGTGAGCTGTAAAACAGATGCTAACTTTATTGTCATTAACAACTAACAGTTAGCTGGTCATTTACAAGCTGAACTCAATTATATGTAAGTTGGATAAAAGGTGACATGATCGTTCTGACTGCAGACGCTTTGAAAACTATTTAATATGATTTAGTACAACTTGGGGCAGTGGCACAAATTAGATTTTTTTTTGGAGCTGAAAAGATCAGAATTAGGCCTGCCATGAAAATACAAGCTATAGATCCCACATAGGTAAAAAAATAAATAAATTGGGTTAAGATTGTATTTGCCTGCTGTGTGATCATAGCCTAAGAGTCTCAAGCATGGACACATCGGTGTGTCAAGCTGGCAGCACATACCTTAATATCCGACAGCCAGTGTTTTACCTCAGAATTACCAGATTTTAAGCCAACAGGTTTGCAAGACAGAATAAACTTTGACAAGTGTTTAACAGTAGTCCTGCTATGTTTTGACATTTATTATTAGTGTAATCTTGTGGCATTAGAACTCATTACCCCCTAACATAACTGCCTGCTGGTGTGGACTTTCTGGATAATTCTTTGGTCAAAAAGTGAATCCAGCTTAGCTATCACTAGTTTGAAGAAGCTAATTAGCAGGTGAAAGTGAAGTATTATCTCAAGTGAACTAGCCCTGGCCTTGGTCACTGGTGTGACATTTTGTCATCAACACAACTAACTGACATTAACAATGCTATCCAGCATCATTTGATCATCTTACCATTTCTTATGTCAGCATGTGAAAGAAGTCTGATTGTTTTATTATAAAGTGATGAGTCTCCTCTTAGACTCTTGTCTAATCCAACTTTAAAGCTGTTTGAAACTGCCTGACTCTCTGTTTGAACAGAACAAATCCAGCATTTTTGTTTTGTTGTGTTTTTTATATACATTCTGGCGGGGCTGGCCCAAAGTTGTGTGAGATGTTGAGCAGAAATTAATCGAATTACTTGAGTCCTCTCTTCCTGTTGAAAACTTAACAGCACTTCAATACGGATTCAGTTTAATGAGGCCAAGTGTAACTGTCTAAACTTCATATTGTAACTATGGTAAAAACAAGCATAAAGGTTGAAGTAAACTTGCCAATTCCTTTAAACTTTTAATTTAAAAATGTAAACAATAGAAAAAAATAATCTAGGCTAAAATCTAAATCTTCTTATTCTCAAAAACCAAATATAAAAATGTTAACTCTGGTTTTATGGAAAGCTCTAAGCAGTGGCCTAGTCATTTTTCCCCTACCTCAGACAATCATATAAAGATTTTTTTAATCATTACCAATGTTGTCCTTCAGGTTGTGTATCGCCAGAGCTGGCATGGCAGGACTACGGTACTGCAAACCAATAAGACCAGCGTTGAGCTGGGGGTTCCTTACGGGGAGGACCACGTCATCGAGATCACAGCGCTGACTGAGGGGGGCCATGGAACCAGCAGTGGGCCCATTCACATACCAAAGATGTCCAGTAAGTTTCAAACATTTTGCAGTCTAGAAATGATCAGAGGCAGAAATAGACAGGGGAGCGGTGGGAATGAACCAAACCCCAGAGTGATGCTGTAGGAGCTTTACTGAAGGTCATCAGACTGCACTACAAAACTCCAAAATCAGTGTTTGATTAAACCAGAAATAAAATTCTAACAGTATTTAAAAACTGTCACTGTCTGTTTTTGGTATGATCTGAGTTAGCTTAAAACAGTGGAGAAACATGAATAAAGCTGCAGTAGGTAACCTTTATAAACCATCGGTTTTTTTGGTACATATTTGTTATTACTATTTTGTGACAGTTTGACATAATACAGATATTTATGAAAAAAGTCAAGCACCTCTACCGCCTCTTTGTAACCTCCTGCTGCCATCAGCAGAAATACACCGCTTGATCTGAAACAACCAATCAGAGCCAGGAGGAGGGTCTTAGCGCTGTCAATCACACTCATACTCGCTTCCCAGACTGTCCAGACCTCACCATAGAAAATGTTTTGCATTTTGCCAAAACTCAGATTAATGGGTCAAATTGTTCCAAGAGATCATTGAAACAATATTTATAATAAAAATACAAGTTTGACTTCAACATCAGAAATATTACTATCCTCTTAAGAAGCCTCACTATAACAGCACCAGTTGTAATCTGTTGTATTTAGAAAATTATTGTATACAATGCTTATGATATAGTGTAAAATAAGCAGTAGGTTACTCCAGTTACCCACTGACACAAACCTGCAGCATGAGAGTGCAACGTCTTCCATGGTTTAGAAATATCCCGCCTGAGACACTCCCACATGAAAGAGGGCGATATGGAGTTGGAAAATTGAAGTTTTATGATATTTTTTGGTAAAATTGTGATAACAATAAAAGTGATTCTGATCTGTTTATTACTTCTTTTTTTAGGTTTATTGTTTCTTTTAACACAAATATTACTCTTAAAATATATTCCCATGTATAACACACTTCTTTGGGATTCCAGTCACATTAAGAAGTAATGAGCCAAACCACACAGTAACTGCATTTAATCTGCATTGAATCATGTTTTCAAATGTGATATGCATTGATACTATCATTGAAAATAGTAAAACTAACAATCCCAACAACATAGACCCTTTTTAACATCATTAATTTGGATTTCTTGTGACAACAATCAACATTTTTCCCATATTATAAATGATGTTAAATGTCCACATCTACTCACACTAAACAGTTTTTGCTTCAACAACACACACATTTGTAGGATTTTTTTTGTGTCAGACAAAACATATGATAAGCAATTTGATAATACAGATTTAACTCCAACATTTTGATTATACTGTCCACCATAAAACAATCTACCAATAATAACCAGTTTCAAACTTAACAGGTTTTCTCATTCCTGGCTCTGTGCTCCACGATGCTCCTTGGTTTAACTATAAAATACACAGTAGACTAAGTAATACAGTAACATATGAGAATATTCTGTTTTTGTCTTTTTTTTTAAGTGAAGCCATTTTATCTTGCTAACATTTTTTTTCCTTTTCTTCTTAGGTCTGAACTCAAAAGGACGTGTGGCTAGAATTCCAGTGAAGATGTACTGTTTTATCCCCTTTGGACTTCATTTATTAATCCATCTACTGATGCTATAATACTGAAAATAAACGCAGTGCATATTTTTCCTCCTACATGTGACATTTGTCGAATAAACGGCGGCAACTGTAACATTTTTCAGCCTCTGGTTTCCAAGGAACAGGAGCGGAGTGATGGAACCTTGGTGAAAGGTTGTCAAATGCCCACAAAGTGCTGCTCTCAGACAACGGCACAAAACATCTCCTGCTGGGCTGCAACACTGCACAATGCATAAATTTGTCAAAGCTGAAAAGTGGACCTTCTCTCCTTTCACTGTCAAATGAATTTGAGCACAGCTTCATGTCCCTTTTTTATTTCTGTGTGTGCTTATTTTGCATTAATGTTTAAGTCCAGTTTCAGCTTGTTTTGATGTGAAACCTCTCACCTTGGTCCACAAATTTCTCTCTCAACCAGCAGGTTTGAAAGAAAAGCGTCCCATCATCCTCTTCGCTTTGTTTGCTGAGGACGAGCAGTTGAGCCTTGATTTTTTTTACTTCGGTATGAAAGAAAAACCTTTGAAGAAATTGTAAATATTTGTTACCATGCTGTAGCCAGCCTGAGCTAATGAAAATACACTTTTATGATACAGGTTAGAAATCTCCCAAGATAAGAAGACATCTGGCTTTCTAACCTGTATCTGTTCCAGGCTAGAGTAGATCAACAGTAAGCATCATTAGCTTAGCAGCTTGAAACAGAAGTTCTCAAAATTTTCAACTTCCAACCCAAAGGATAATAATTGCACAGAGCTGACAATCTATCTACTGCAGGTTGAATACAAAACAAGCTATTGCGCTTGGTCAGCTTATTCTTTGTCACATTGTGCTGTTAGTTTTCCATGACCCAGAGTTGCTGTTGACAACAAACTTAAACTATGCTGGGAAGTGACTTACAGCATTTCAGCTGAAGTTAATGGCTGTAGTTAAATATCTAGATTCTTGAGTAAACCCCCATCACGGTGGATGAAGACCTCTCTATCCTCTCTGTGACATACATGACGAACTAAAAATCTGAATGTTCCACTGATCACCGTGAGCTGATGACACAGAAGATCTTAGAGCGACTACTTTTATGTCTCCTCCCTCCTCCTTTAAAAAACAATGACAGAACATATCTTTGACATCATGACATGTACATTTACTTTTTAAATCATAGCCTAAAAACTCAAAACTTCCTTTGGTCAACGTGTTGCACAATATGGGAGTGTCCACAGCTAGGAACTGTTTCCATAGGAAACCCAGCGCACGTGCTCTCCTTTTCCAAGGTGTCTGATCAAGGCTCTATTTATTAGTGCAGAGACTGAAAAATATGAATTTCAGCTGCTGAATGAGAGCAGCAGTGAGTGGCTCAAGCAAAGAGCTAAAACTTAACAAGATGTACTTCAGACTTAAATTCTCTCCAGCCATCTTGCAGTTGAGCAGGGGTGTCCAAAGTCGGTCCTGGAAGGCCGGAACCCTGCATGTTTTAGTTCTCTCCCTGGTTTAGCGCACCTGGATCAAATGATGGCTTGTTAGAGGTCTAAGAGGAAGATTGACTTGCTGAAAAGGCTGTTGCTACCACCAGGGAGGGATCTAAAACGTGCAGGATGCCGGCCCTCAAGGACCGACTTTGGACACCCCTGCCGTTGAGGGGTGTACCCAGGGCTTTAACCAGGTGTGAGGGTGTTTTATGTGACTTAGCCTGAGACTGTTCAGATTCTATTGTTTTGCTAAATCTGGCCGTTTTTACCTCCTGTCTTCTGAATCTGAGAGATGATATGCAACACTTTTTTTCTACATTTGATAATTGAGACAAAATCAATGAATGCATCTCACCCAGTAGCTTTGTTCCAGCTCAGCCCTGCTGTTGATATTGGCTCTTTATTGGGGCGATCGGTTCCTGCTAACGCAGCGTGGTGGCAGAATGGGAGCAGATCCATTGTTAAAGTAATTAATAACAGGTTTGCTGTTCCCTCTGCAATTAGTGAAAGTCTCTGATGTGAGTAGAGCTGCTCAGTAACCACAAGCTCAAATTTATAAACATAATTATATTAGACCAGCTAATGGCTAATGTTGGCCCAAGCAGTGGTGTTTAGTTAGAGACGAGCCAGTTAGGAGTTAACACATTTCTTCTGTTTAATTCATTCCTCTAAAGCTTGTGTAAGCTATAAAACATGTTTTTTACCGAAGTTCATTCAGTTGCTGTGGATTATTGTTCGTCTATATTGAAGATTTGCCAGCTGAAGTACATATCTTCATCCTATCAATGGCACTGCTCAGTTTCTCAAAGCAGACAGTCAAAGGCCAAGCTGCTTCTTTTTTTCTCGATGTTATGCAAGAAAACACGGAGTGACCTTGTGATGCTTTAACACGTGTGCAGATGCTCTGAGTTGCATTTTTAGCCGAGTTTCTGTCAGAAATCCATTAAATCGCTCTGCCTTAGCAAGTTCATATACTGTTTATGTTAAATGTCAGAAAAGATTCACTCTAAACGTTGATGCAACCAAACCGTTTACTGGTACTGTGTATCAAACCGATGAAGTCGTCCTGCATCAAGACCATTGTGCTTATAATGTAAAGAGATGGATTTATAATGATAGGACAGAATGAGGAATGTTATTATATTATTTTAATTGTTTGCATTTTGTGATTTGTTTTTGTTATTTTGCGGGAAGAAAGTATTGGCTGAAGGAAAAAACATCTGAAAACTTTAAGAAGTACCAGAGTATTATGAGAGGTAGTTTCCTAAAGTAGATTTCACATTAAGAGTCAAATACGTTGGTGTGTGAAGCACTCTCCATTCTGTATAACAGATTTGTTTTGCAAAATTATTCATATTATTCAGTTTGTCCAAAATTTGTCATGTGTGAAAGAGTAGCACAAAGTAGTGCAAGTGATACAATATGAATATTAATCTGTTTTATACAGTTATAAATAAGTTTTCTTTTTTTGATTTTCTTTTTCTACAGAATTGAATCTGAAAAGTGTGGTGTGCATACAGACCCCTGGATCCATTATTAATAGGAACACCTTCCACTCATATACAGATGCTGGTCTTCCAGTCTGGCAGCTTACTTTCCCTTTTCCCTGTTCTTCCTTGTAGAAGCTGAAGCTCCAGATGGGAAGCAGAACATCTGTGAACATGAGTTTTTAGTTTTGCTAGCTCTTTATGTCTCGACTATTAGAGTTGAAAATGCGACCCCGGGGCCATTTTGAGCCTCTGATTTTGTGCAACCTTCAGCCACCATTCGACTATAGCACAGCTCTGGTTTGCTAACTCGAGTAGTTGAGTTAGTAGTCATATTTTGACTGATTTGAAGCCTTTTAAAATTCCTAAAATTGATCATGTAAGGTGCAGCACAGATAATTAATCTTCTCTCAACCTTATTTCTATATTTGCTATGATTAAATTTGATGTTAGATATGACCACAGTGACATTTACTGGGATGCAGACATGGAGGCACACATTTATTGAGCTTGGCAAAATGAAACAATAATGGGCCGCAGCTGGTTTTTGTTGCTGAAAATACAAACACAAATTAAAACCTAGACAAAACGAATCAATCTGAAGAAATTATTATTAATTGATTGAGGTCCAGTCTAAAGTCTCACAAAACAGCTGCATTCAGGTGGCTCTCAACTGTTAACAGAACATTTATATACGAGTATCGGACGGCTGAATGCACGGGCAATCCACACTTTTCAGATACAAAATAAAAATAATTCTGAGCACAATTTGCTGCTCACATAAAATTACAATATTAATTTTATTTGGTACAGTGCAGTACATTGAAGCTTGTGGTCATACAGCATCAAAACATGAAAAAGTAGTTAGATATGAAAATGTCTATGCCTGATGAGTTAGTTGTTCAGGTAGGAAGGTAAATTATGCTTTTATCCCTCAGTTTGGAAAGGTACAAGTTTTCAATTTAACAACATTGCAACCAAAAAAAGCTGTTTTGTTTTTCATTGTTCTGCATCAAGCAACAATTTTCAAACTGTTGCATATCTTTGATTGTGGTACATCAGACTTGTGACACATTTACATCCAGACAGAGTTTGCATCCTCAATATGAACTTCCTGTAGCTGCACATGGGACAAGCATGAGGATGCAAACATTTCTTACTCTCTGCTGTTACACTCCAGTAAATATTAGTAGATTCTGTTATGGTGCAACATCCAAAAACAGAATATCTGAAGCTTTTTAGTACAGTAGGAAAAGATACTCAAATATATTAAATTCCTTCATAGACACAATAAATAGCTTTTTAAAATAGATAAAATATACAAGTCGGTTACAGGAACATTGCTACTGCTGAACTCCAGTTTTAAATTTCCAATCATATGTTGAAAATAACAGAAAAAGGCAGATTATAGCAATGAAATCTCATTAAAATGTCTTTAATATTTGACCTTTTTATTTAAACTTGTTCTTTGTCAGTATTAACATTATTTAATTGATTTATTAGGACTAAGTTGTCTTCAAATATAATTCATACAATTTTAATTTAACAGAAATTTAGGTAGAGTTGGGGTAAAATGCTCTTCATGTTTGTGCACATTTAAAAAAAGACTGTTTTTTTACAAGGTTAAATAGGGCTTACTTTATATTTGAAATAATACATATTTGCTATTTTAAAATTGCCTTTTAAAATATTAAGATCTTCCTTTTAATTTTGTTATTGTATTATTTGTGTGTTTATTTCTTTTCAAATAAGTATAAATTATTGTACTAGTGTTTTCATTAATTTTAAATGTATCAATAACTTATCGTTAAGCTCTATTGCTGATTATTTAAGTGATCTAATACTATTGTATTATGCAGATATCTCTGTGAGATACTGAGAAACGATTCAATAAAGTTTCACATTGAAACCTTTTCATCGGTTTCTGTCTTGATTTGTTTTTTGCCTTGTCTGACTCATACACCTCACCTTGAGATGGACTTTATTTATATTTTTTAATTAGTCTGAGGAGGTTTCTGCTGTAGCGCAGAGAGAAGTAGTGATGCACTGCACACGTGCTGAGTAAGTATCCTGCAGGACTGCAGAGGAAAAACGATAGAGTGAAGGTTCCCTTGGGACAAACAAACACAAAACAAAATATTCTGCAGCAGTTGCCTTGGCAAAGAGTTTATCTTTTTATTCTGAATGCCTTTCACAGCCTTCTGTTCCGCAGATGAATGCTTGTTGAGAGAAAAAACTTAACAGAATGCAAACCAGGCTGGTTGTCATAAAGAAATCCATAATACTAACTTGTAGGTTGGATTAAATGTACCTTGATTTTAATGTACATTTATTGATAAAATGCTTGGGTTCAATTATTTTCTTCAGGCTTATACTTCACATTCTCCAAAGTATCTTTTTTAAACAAACCCATTTTGTTGTTCTCTCTTTACATTTACCCAGGAAGTTGTAATCACAACATTTTCTGCTCCTGATAAGGCTAACTATAATTAGCTAGTGAAGCTATCTCATTATTTTGTTCATTCAAAACTTGTAACCTATCGACTCATTTACTGACGGAGGTTTAACAGTTCTATGTATGACTGACAGCAGCAGCGTTTCCATTACAAATGTGTGCAAAACTTTGTCAATACTCTGTTAATTGTTAGAGACACAGTTCCGTAGTTGAGGTGCTAAATAAGAAATTACGGTAAATTAAAATTACATGTGAATGTTTGTTCATATGTTAAGTCATTGAAAACCTTCTTCCTCTGACCACTTCCTGACTTCCTCGTGGTTTCCACCAGTAGTAACATAGATATAATATAAGAGTAGACCCCGCATTGGCCGCTCCGGCGCAGGAAATACGGCGGCCATCTTGGAGCGGTATACCCTCCTACTTTGCTCAATCAAAACAGCAGAAGATGCCTCAGCACTGAGGGATATTGTTGTTCGGATCTATGTATTATTGATGTGAGGGCTCCACAGACAACATTTCACAAGTAAGATGGACATATTATTGTGTATATTTTGAGATTAGAATATTACTTTACTGTATTTATGTCCACCGGCGAGATACCATAGCTACAGTGCTTGGTGTAATACGGGTTCAGCCCCGCTATGAAGGCCAACTGAGATTCCGTAAATCTAAAAAAAATTATTATTCTCTAACATTGACTTAGATTATCTGACACAAGAGCCTCCATTAGAAATTAAACAACATAACACATATTATAAAACTTATATTATGTGTTATAACATTCACCGACAAAGTTTACATAGGTGGTAAAGACTATTATTTATATTCTTTCACTCTGTCAAAAGTAAGATACATCCTAAATCTTCCGTTTTGTTTGGAAAGTTTCATAAAGACACGATGTGAGGAAGAAGAGGGAGATATCTATAAAGAGAGACGGATTCACTGCAGCACGGATGAATCTCACATCGGATTTTGGACTCATCAGCTGAAAAACACACACATATATATATATATATATATATATATATATATATAATTCAGTATTAATCATTATTTATTTGTGCCATTATAATCTTTATTTATTAGTGTGTGTATAGTTATATAAATATATTGATATTACTAAATAATTTATTAAATAAATTATGAACGGGTGTGTGCTTTGTAATATGCTCTTCATACATCAATATCAGAATATTCCATTCCTATTCTAAAAATTACAATTGTTTATAAATGTTGCTTTGATAGATGTTTGAATTTGGTTTACAGTAACAAAAAAGTGTGTTATGATC